ACAGCTGGATCGACGCGCAGCCGATGGCGGCACAGCTGGGTTGCCGTCGCACAGCTGGATTGCAACGGTACGGCCGGCCCCATTGCAGTGGCACGCCAGCATGGCGATGGCACAGCTGGATCGCGACGGCACCACGCGCCACCACCACCAATTTGGGGCAGAGCCGGGCCGCAACAGCACAGCTGGATGGCAATGCTCCAACCGGCTTGTGACAACACAGCTGCATCGCGGCGGCACAGCTGGATTATCATGCCACAGCCTGCCCACAGCATCGCGGATGGGTCATGAAAGCATGGCCAGAGCATGACCGGACAACAGGGATGGATGGTGACAACATGGATGGATCACAAAGGGACATTTGGATCATGGTGGGAGATCCAGACCCCAGTGGGACATCCGGACCCCAATGGCATGTCCAGACCATGATGGCACAGCAGGGTCGAATCGTGACAACATGGCTCGATTGTGATGGGACATTTGGACGATGGTGGGACATCTGGACCCCAATGCGACATCTGGACCCCTATGAGATATCTTGACCCCGATGACATAGCCAGACCATGATGGCTTGTCAAGGTCAGATTGTGACAACATGGCTGGATCGTGATGGGACATCTGGACCATGGTGGGACATCCAGACCCTAATGGGACATCCAGGCCCCGATGGGACATCCAGACCCCAATGCCACAGCTGGACCAAGTGAGACCTATCTCCTACCGGGGCAGGCCAGGGCTATCGAAGTCACGCAGGCGAGGGATGTCCTCAGCGGCGTGGGGCGATGGCGTCAGCGTGGCAGTGGACCGGCAGCCGGAGGAGGCGGCGGGCGAGGATGCGGCGGTGGCACAGGGGACGTGCTCACCGGGGTACCACTCCTCCCTCCCCAACCTGCGGGTTGGGGGCCAGAAGGTGGGTGCCGGGGCCACCATGCCCCGGCCCCCCCAGGCCCCCACACTCACCCTCCAGCCGCCTCTTCTTCTTCATCCTCCTCTTCCTCCTCCTCCTCCTCCTCCTCCCA